ATCCCAAGGATAAGAGAGAACGACACAAAAGATATGTAGAAGGGCAAACGGCTTGAACAGGTTTCTGGGTTTGCTTCTAGGAGCAAGACGTCAAAATGATAGACCTTTCTGATCGATTCGGTTTTTGATGCGCCTTGCACAATACTCCAAATCGGAATGGCATTTTTGGTAGTGTGGTGAGCCGATGTACAAGCCGCTGTATTTTATTCTCCCAGACACCTGGAAGGACTTAGGGACTGGTTAGCTGGAACAGTTCAAAAATCTGACCCCCTCTCCCCATTACAGAGCACGTGGATGGAAGTGCTACTCAGCCCAGGGCACGTCTTCCCAAAGGGCGGGGTGGGGAAACTTACGAGAGGTATACGACATTCCCCCTTTAAAACCCTCCTTTGGTACGACTCAATTCACCTCATCGTGTAATCCGATTTTTTCGAATTCACATTCTTTCTCCCGTAAGTTTCACAGTGCGCGCCGTAAACTTTGCTGCCGCGGGGAGGGATAATTTTTCTGAACCTACGATCTCCTTCCTAAAGCGCCATGCGAACACGACATCCTCCATTGGGAGTTTCACTTGATGTGGATAGCGTTCGTGAAACAGTAAAAATCAATTGCCAAAAAAACTACTACAGCCGAACATGACCCCTCCCTACAGCAACTTCATGTGACCCCACTATGGATTCCTTAGCGTACTTGGTGGTGCCGCTCACTAACACCACATAAACATTAGGCCCCATAATTGCCAAAAAAAGTTTACTCTAGCTTAATAAAAAGAACGAAAACGCCACCTGCGCCATGTTTAACATCTGTGGATTGTTGAATAAGGATGCGAAATCTACACCAGGAGGCAATCCTGCTCCTCCTGCTCCTGCTCCGCCAAACATAGCAGCAAAAGGATTCTAAAAACTATCAGGATTGGTCAGCATTTATTCGTTAGTTATCTAGGTGCTTGGGAGAGCGTTTTTCCTTTTTGCTGAGTTGCCTTCTTGCAAGCTCTCCGTTAATTTCCATGTAAAATCCCTTATTAGACATATGGACTCTCATCAAATGTTAACGAAGCTCAACATGGCTTTATAGGGGTTTGAAGGTCTCCACAGAAGACATCAGTAGTGATTTATGGGGACCAAAGAAATGCCCCCACCAAGCTGAACTGCGCCGCTATCTAGCCGAACATGTGACTTACCGGTTGCGCTCCACTTGCTTGTGCTGCTGCCTCAAGCTCCTTCACTTTTTCCTCGGCAATTTTCAAATTATTTTTGAAGCTTTCCTGATTAGGATCCAGCTCAAGGGCCTTCTTATAGGCTTCCACAGCTTGCTCATAACGATTTTGACATGACAAAGCCAGTCTGAAACAATATTAATTTTTCGACCCCTTCTACGTGTTCCCCTAAAAGGAGTGCAAAATGCAAAAGCTAAATGGTTTCGCACATGCATAATTGATCCAAATAGGACAATCGTGTTAAGCATGCTACTGTAAGATCGTTTTTATGCACGTCGCAGCGTATAAATTATCGATTATGGACAGAACATAATGGTGAACACAGCATTTGAAAATTCCTTCGAAATTCATGCAAAAATGAGAACCAACAACGTAACTGAAATAAAAATTACCCCATTCTTCCATAGGCTTTGCTATATTTCGGGTCAAGAGCGAGTGCTGTCCTGCAGTCTTGGATTGCGAGATCGTATTGTTCAAGGCGGCAATATGCAGCAGCTCTGAGACAAGGAAACAGGCTCAGAAAACTATTCAGATGACACGTATTGACCTACCTGTTGCAGAAATAAACGGGATCTCGGTTCAGTTTGATAGCCTCATTATATTTACTAACAGCTGCGTCAAACTGAGACGCTTTCATAAGGTCATTACCCTAAATAAAAAAGCAGTAGGTGGAAAAATTACTAAAAATTCAAGAACTCTACTCAACCTACTTCTTCTTTAAGTTTATTCGCCTCTGCAATTTCCGCTTCAGTCGGTTCTGGCAACTTATCCTCTCCCTAAAGAGATGAATTTTGAACAATATCATTGCATTCGCTTGCTCTGCTTCCGGTAGGGAAGAATGGGCGCGAGTCCATTCGGGTCAGGGCACTTTCGGTCGCCGGGGAAAATTTGCAAAATGCGATCCCGAAACCCCTCCGCTCTCCCGTGCATTTTCTAAGTTTTTTTTCCGGAAAAGTTCTCAGTTTTTCATCGAAAAGCTGCTATTGAGCAAGGAAGAGGAGTCTATATGAAATGGGAAATCGGAGAAAAGTCAACAGCTGGAAAAACTCTCTCGCGCCCAAAAAGTTTTCAAGTTACCACCCCTCTCTCAACGCGACAATTTACGATCCCCCATGAGCGCGAGTGGTGGGGGGGGGATGGACCCCTCCACTGGGTATCAGCAATAGTAATGTGTAGGGCATATCATTGGTTGGGATTTTGGTCGAGCCCCCTATCGCCCTCTGCCCTCCTCCTCGAGCTGTTGAGGAGGGGGCGGGGGTACATAGCACATGTGAAACGGGAAAAGCCGCGAGAAAATACGACCCCCCCTTCTACCAATTCTCAGATTTTCCCCAACTTCCTGCCACTTTTTCCAAAACTTCCCTTGGTGCAAAATTCCCTATTTTTCCCAAAAAAACTTGCTGTTGATGGGGGGGGGGTATAAAGTACACATGAAACAGGAACCACAAAAGTCAATCACCACCTCTCCCAGAAGGCCAGAAAGCAAATACGACCTTACGACACCCCTC